CTACTATATTTTGTTTACCCCTTACTTCACCCTGACTTGCTATCATAACTTCTGGAATAGTTGGAGGGGGTACGTCTCCCGAAGAAGATTTAATTACTTTCCAAAAATGTTTGGGGTCATTAAGGTTTTCATTTAATAAATTCAGATAATATTCACTTTTTGTACTTTTTATTAATCTTGTGCATTTGTTTCTTAATACCCTATAATTTACCCAGCATTTATCATTATTATTTACTTTTGCTTTAATCCATGCTTTATTTCGTTCTCTAATAGCTGTTGCAATAGAGTCATTAAACCAAGGATTGTCTCTACCCCTCACTCTGTATCTTCTAATAGGGGCATGTTTGTCAACTACAGCTAAAAAGGTTTTTTTTAAATAATTCCAGGCCAGCTCAACATCATCCATATCACAAACTAAGTTTAAATCACTCTGATAGATTTCATGAAGAAAAGCTTGCTCATTAAAACATTTATAATTTCGTTTAAAAATATACCGTGGTTTAGTTTTAGTCAATTTGCAATTTCTAACACACACAACCATACAGTGATCACTGATATCATTACAGAAAACTCCAGTAGCCGAATACTTATGTGGAGCATTCGACAGAATTACGTCAATTAATGTTGATTTATCCATTCTTTTTTGATTTAAACGTGTAGGTGACTCTACTAGTTGGGTCAAATGTAAAGCATCACATATATCTCTTAACGCTGATGAAGGTGATAGCCAGTCCCAGTTCAGATCTCCTAGGAGAATATACTCATTTGACAGTTTATGCAAAAAGTCAGACAGTAGAGCAGTTGCTCCAGCTGCAGCCGAGGGTGGCCGGTAACATCCTACCACAGTCAGAAAAGCGCCATTTGGGAGATTTAATTTAATGGCACATAATTCGAAGAATTTTGGCTTTGTAATTGATTCAATGGAACAACATTCTAACGATGCCTTAACATATATGGCTACTCCCCCTCCTTTACCCATACGATCCGTCCTAAAGAGATTATACCCTTCAATATGAATCATATTACTCGTGATTGATGGTTTGAGCCATGTTTCTGACAAGACGATTATGTCACTTTCTGTCAGTTTAGCCCACAGACGAATAGCATCGATTTTATTAATCAGGCTGCGCACGGTGACATGAATAAAACGCAAGCCACTGCTATCTTTTAAGTCGTCAGGGCTCAGAAGCTCACGCATTTTTGGGCCTGGGTTTGGATGGACATTACCTGAAAGGAACAGGAGTAGAATAATCCAAACTGATCTTGCCGGGCGGCTGTTGCCAACTCGATGATCGCGCCTGCAGGAGTTAAACTGGAACCGCCGTACTTCTGCCCACTTGAAAAGTCCATACCCATGCAGGGTGCAGACCGATGAAGCCATGAGGACTGATGTAAAGCCATCGGCATCAAACAGCATAGTCACAGAATTTGGAAGAACAATTTGCGAAGAAGCAAACAATCCATCACCAGATAATCCCAGAGTATTTACAGTCCGTGAGCTCAGCACACAAGCGAGCACTGCGAGCAGCAGGTAAACTGGTAACCTCATGTTGTTGTTGTTTTAGCCAGACCAGCTTGTTTCGTTGATAAAGTGGGCTATATTATTGTTTACTGTTTACGATAGAGTTTGTAAACACAGTTCTGAGACACAGGATGAAAATGATTCCAAAATCAGGTAACCCGTTTAGCAAAAGAAAACAAAAATACTAATACAGACACAAGGAAACTACGCAGACAAACGTGTAAACTCCGACGCCGCCATCTTGGAATGCTTGGAAAAGTTAATAATTCCGCGAATAACTGCAATTACAGATTTCAAACAGAGATGGCGACAAAGAGGAAAAACGCCAGACTGCAGCTTTAAAGGCAGGGTAGGTTTGAGAAACTAGCAGAAAACTGCTAGATTTTGAAAGTATCCAACAGAGAAACTCCCACCCCCTTCCTTCTGGGCTCCTTCCAAAGCCACGCCCCCAAAACACATGAACGCGTGATGCCGACCGCTCAGCTGGAGGAGCGTTTACCAGCGCCGAGCGGAGAGGAGCGCAGTGCATGGAGTGACATCACCTTTTTTTGCCTTGTTTGCCTGCGCTGACTGTATGCAGGTACAGGTGGTACTGGGAATTTTGACTGCTCTTTCTCTGCCATAATTGTGAGACTTCCTAGCTTCCGGCCGGTACGTGCCTCTCCTCTTTCGAAATGAGCGAGTCAACCGGACGCGCACATGTGGGCAGCCAGAGACTATTTATATAGAGACATGTCACTTCATCAATCCTTAATACAACTATATAGGGAAAACCCGTAACGCCAAAGATGGCGGTTGTATGCACATGTCCCGCCCCTCCCGCTGGAAAGCCAATCGTCTGCTTTTAACAGTCAAGCCGGAAACATTTAAGCCTATCGTCTAGTTCCACTGAGTGCTTCAAACTGTGTAGCGCGCGGACGACCGAGGGAGAGAACCCTTGCGCATGCATAGTAAAAGTATAACATGTGGGGGAAAAGGCGTTTTAAACCTTATTTTGGGGCAAAGTCATCAAACTTTTTCAGTGATTTTTATCATATTTTACTGCTGTTTCTATACATGCAGTTTTTATGTCCCGGTGACCAGTGAAACTGCAGTACTGACTCTCTGCCCATTCATTTAGATAGGAGCCTGGTCTTGTTAGTCCGAAATAGCTGCCCGGAGGCGTTGCCAAGATGGCGGCCGAGTGGCATGACTTGCCTAAAAGGACTTTGGGGCAGCTCCTGTAGCAGCAGGGGTGGTCGCCATGGTAGCGAGGGAGAGTGACAGTCGCCCAGCCAATCATTGCATTCGTTCCAAATGGAAAGAGTAGTTGTGTTTATTGCAGCCCTGAGAGGACTGCAGACACTCGATTTTTATACTCTCCTTTTCAGAGTACTTACATTTTAAATATGTATTGGTATATAAAGATAGTTTAAACAAATTTGGGAAAAAGTGTTTTAGAAACAAACTGCCTACCCTGCCTTTAAGTAACGCATTACTTTATGTACAACAAAATATCGAAGTTACTTTTTCACAAGTTACTTTTTTTTTTTTACCCAGTTATGAAAGCTCTCCTGTCCCCATGTTGAGAGAAATCTGGAGTAAATGCAGAGGCATTTGTTTGTGAACATGATGGTTATTATAGGTTTAGTAGACTAAATGTGAAATGCTCATCTCACTTGTACAAAAACAGATTCAGTATTCCTCCAAATGAACAAAAACAGTTAAATGCTAGCTCAGAATATTACACAAACCTGCAATAATGAAATGTTAAGTAGAACAAATATACTGTGTTTATTATACTGTATATGTATTTAATCTCACTTTATTAACCAATATATTTACTGCTGACCTTCAATGATCCAATTCAACCATACTAAGCTAAAATTACTTTAGATAAACATCACTGTCACAAGATGAAGACCAGGTACACAGGATCCAATACAAAGTGATTTTAATAATACAATAAACACAGGAACAGACATAAGTTGCTCAGTGTGTGCGTGGAACAGAACACACACAACGCGCAAACATCGACCGACAACTGAAGGGTGAAACAGAGCAACTTAAAGGTGCTCTACGTAACTTTTAGCGGCCTCTAGTGGTGATGTTTCAGATTGCAACCAAATTTTACAAGAGCGCTCGTGCTCGAACTCATAGACAATACCATCTATTACGCAAATATCTCGGCGAATACTAGACAGATTCGGCGAGCACCGAGCTCGTTGGGACCATCTAGTCGAGCTGAAAAGAACCATATAAGTTCCATAGTTTTTGGTGGTGTTTTCGCGGAGATATTAGCAGAAAACCATCGGGCGCGCTGCAAAATTGCGGACGCCGGTGACGTCACGATCTCAGAAGAAAATCGCTCGTATCTCTGGAATGCAAAGACACAGAGAGCTCAAATTCGGGGGAGGAGGTCCCAGGGGAACCCTTGCCCGAACGCTAGAGTGGCGGGCCTCGGGGATGCCCCCTACCGGATCGCCGTTCCCTGGGACCCCCGATTTCGAACGGCTATAACTCGGGGAGCCGGGTGAGTTGGACCTCGGGGGTGGGCTCGTTCGAAAGGCCCCGTCCAGCACTACGAACGATTAGAGTCTTGGGAATATTGATCAAAGATTGACTGAGATATAAGCCGAAAAACGTGCGCCTTTAACCGGACGTAACTCCCTGACCGTCTACAATAGACTGTACATAAGGAGAGAGGCTCGGGAGCGCGCATGCACGTCACATCCGTTGGATTTCGCGGTAAATCCGACCCGGAGACTTCTAGGGGTGGTTAATCGGTCTGATTTCCCGATTCGATTCGATTACGATTATTGAAGTCCCAATTCGATTACAGTCGATTTTCGATTATTAGCGATTCTCGATTAGCGATTATTGATTTTTAGCGATTCTCGATTAGCGATTATTGATTTTCCATTTCACAACAGTAAACGAAAATAGGGTGGTGATGGCGCAGTGGATTAGACACATGCCTTTGGTGTGAGAGACCTAGGTTCGAATCCACTGTGAGACACCAATGTGTCCCTGAGCAAGACACTTAACCCCTAGTTGCTCCAGAGGCGTGCGACCTCTGACATATATAGCAATTGTAAGTCGCTTTGGATAAAAGCATCAGCAAAATGAATAAATGTAAAAATGTAAATGTAAATACACTACAAAGTGATTGCAGTATTTAAAAAAAAAGTCAGCTGCTGAATTACTTAATTCTTTTATTGAGTAACAATAAAAGTTAAGTGTTCTGTAGAACACAAATAAATACATCACATTGTGTTGTGACTCAAGTTTAACTAAACAATAACAAATAAATTAAAGGCTTGTTCACTTTAGGAAGTAGATCAGAACCAACAACATACTGTAGATGTGGAATTGGACAATTTTCTTCTAGAAAGACAAGGTGTTGTTCAGGTGGAGGAACTGTACTGAAGAACACAGTGACAAAAACACACTAACTTGTGTAATCACACAACATGAGTAATCATGTTGTACTAAACATTCATAGCTCTGGAATGACCAGATTCTTATGGAGGAAGACCAGCTGGTCCACATGTTGTGGCGTGAGTGTGCTCCGTTGTGCTGACACGATGTCTCCCGCAGTGGAGAACACTCTCTCTGCAGCAACACTCGTACCTGGGATACATAAATATCGTTTGGCCAGTTTAGCTAGGAGAGGATACACATGATGGTTGGTGCGCCACCACTCAAGGGGGTCATCGGTGAGAGGAAGTGAAGGGGCCCCCAGATACATGCGAACCTCTTCCTCAGCCCTGGTGTGTGCCGACTTGGGCTCTGCTGTGGTGACAGCGACATTAAATGTTTGGCCCAGCAGTGCAGTCAGAGAAGATGGTCTTGAGGTAGAGGGCGTGGAAGGGCCATCGTCTTCATCCAGCTTCAGGGCTTCGTCGCAAACCTTCTGAACTGCATCATCCTCCTCACCGTCATCATGCCCCTCAGCCATGTCATCACCTTCCCCCTCAGGGACTTCAGCCTCTTGCCTCATCAACTAACACAGGGAAGCAGTGAAATAAGACAGAAAGCATACAAAGCACACAACTGATACAAAGCATTCCATTAATCAGATCATTAATTAATCATTCTCTAAAAAAAGTAAAATTATTAATATCAAAAGAGAGAATACCTCGAGGGATGATGCAGCCTCTGTAGTCACTCTGCTGTATGTCTCCACTTTTTCATCCTCTGAAAGGAATGGGAGAGCTTTAAAGCGAGGATCCAGGCAAGATGCTGTATGGAGTGTGTGCTTCTCTTTTGTAGATGTGTATCTCTTCCTCAAATCTTCCCGGATAGCATGCTTGATTTCCCGGGTCATTGGATCATCCTCTGGTGCAGGGGTGAAGTCGGCCAGGAGCTGTGTGTGTAGTGGGGCGATGATTGAGAGAGTAGGCATGCTTTCCTCAGACATTGTGGTGGTGGCCAATTTCATGGGCTTGAGGGTCTTCACAAGGTGTTCAGCGCCGGACACGTCTCCCTCACTCAGTGTGCAGATGTCATGCGCACCTTTCCTCATCTGTGATGATGGGAATTGAGAACAGGAAAAGTTAAAATAAATGAATTAACACTGTATGCTATAAGAGTTCTCCATTCACGCCAACACAACAACTCACAGTCATTTAGACTAAGTTTCAAACACATGCACCAGCGCCTCCTCAAGGCTGTTGTGTCAAATTGACAAACAAAACTAAAGACATTTTCTGTATATATATTGTTTTTTAAGTTAGTTAGTTTTGTGTGTACACAATATCATATTTTTATTTTAAAGTCTAGTTTTTTTTTTTTAATTCGCTTGCTACTAGGTCTGATTAAATCTTAAATCCCAGACTTACTTGAGGGGAGAGGAGCGCAGCGCAGATGGCAGGCTGCTGTTCAAGGAACCGATCAACCATGTCAAAGCCACTATTCCACCTTGTTGGAGCATCTGTCTTCAGTTTGTGTTTAGGCAGTTCTGGTAAAATTAAAAAAGAAGAAGGAAAGCTAATTACTAGTAGCCTATAAGGAATTATATTTTTAAATAGCCTACTGGTAATTTAGAAACTAATAAAAAGCTTGCTTTGAATGCAATCGTTAAAATAGATTCACTTCTATTACAAAGGTAAATATTTTATTTTTTTAATTAATTTTAAGCCTTTTGCTTACCGAGTAGGGCCTGCTTTTGTTCCAGCACATGACTGGCTGTGGTGCTGCGGTGGAAGAAGGCGGTGATCCGTCTGACTCGACCCAACAGTCGGGCTACAGCGGGCAACTTCAGTGCTCGTTGGCAGGCGAGGTTTAGGGTGTGAGCGTAACAACGGACATGTAGAAAGTTGCCCAGCTCTGCAGCCACGTTCATATTTGAAGCGTTGTCTGTGACGAGAACCAGGTCGTGTGTCTCTATCCCCCACTCGTCCGCCGCAGCTTTGAGAAACTCGACACATATTAGCGCCCGTGTGGCTATCATCCATAGCTCTCGTCTGAAGCACGTATGAAATTAGCTTCCACTCACTGTTGACATGATGAGCTGTAACTGTCACATATGAGACGGTGGCTCTGGAGGTCCAGGCATCGCAAGTTATTGCTACCCTGGGAGCAGACTTGAGGGACATTTGCACTAAAGACTTTGTCTCCTTGTAAAGAATAGGAATCGACTTTTGTGTAAAAAAGCTCCGGGATGGTATCACATACCTTGGCTCCATACTGTGGACCATGTAGCGGAAGCCTTGGTTTTCAACCACACTGTATGGCCTCATATCTTTAGCTATAAAATAAGATATCGACGTTGTGATTTTCTTAGCTCTCTCCGAGCCCGGGGCCAACTTTGTTGTCATATCGTGGAGAGTGCGCTGATTCGGTGGGATGACGGGCTTCAGGCGGTCGTCTTTAACCCACCCTGCCTCCTCTGGATGAAAGCGGGAAATGTGGGCCCTCAAGTTGCTCGTATTGCCGCAGTTCTTCAGTTTAGTGTGGCAATGTCGACAGACGGCATGCGTTCTATCTACATGTTTAGAGCTCCTGCCATGAAAACCAAAATGAATCCACACGCTTGCTTTGAGCCCAGATGGAGCTGGGTGGATCGTTAGTGGTTCTTCCATTTTACGTTACACACCTGCTCTCGAACTCGCTCTGGCTGCCGTTATGAGTTTGCCGCGCTAGCTAACTGGAACTGGGCGCGTTCGTGACGTTCAACTTCCGGTATAACATTTTTTACTAAATAAAATAATGCAAAACATTTTTTTTTTTAAATAATAAAAAATCGATTTTTGAAAATGTAATAATCGATTCATACTCGTCCATAACATACTCGCGATTAATCAATAATCGATTTTTTTCACCACCCCTAGAGACTTCACATAGAAATATGAATACTGGCCTTCAGAGGTAATAGCAAAACTCGACAAGTGGATCATTTTAATGTGTGATTACAACCCCTTCACACACAGGCAATAAAAAAAGGATTCATTTTAGTAGAAAAGTTACATAGAGCACCTTTAAATACAGTGATAATGAGATGATGACAAACAGGTGTGATGATTTGATGAGTGCCCATGACAACTGATGACTGGAAACAAAGAAACATGTGACTGATAAAAACAAACTGAAAGTCCATGAAAATAGAAACTAAGAACAACCAAAACTGAGTGCGTGTGACAGTCACATTGGTAGGGCCCTATGATTTCCGCGATCACGGAATCGTGGACGGATTTACGGAATTGGCAAATTAACGCGGAATCTAGTGTTAACGCGGAATTTCGTGGAATTTTACATATTTGGATTGAAATTCTGTTTTTGTGTGGGAGAAGAACGTATGTCTGGTGAAAACCATAGACAGTATAAGAAGTGGACAGAGCCATCTCATTGGAACTCAGTTGAGACAGTTGAAGCCCATTTTTGAGCACTTCCGTTCCTGACGCGCAGACTCAAACCGACTCAAACTAAGCTTGATGACGTGAGCAACCTGTCTGACAGACGTAAATCTTCTAGTAGCTGTGCGTGAAAATTGCCAACGTTAATCTTGCAGAGACGGGGAACTTGAGCAAAGAGTTCTTTGGCGTGAGTGAGCAGGAGTAAGTATTCCGTTGCTTTTATGGACTCATTATCTATGGGCTTCTCCCTTGACGGGACGTCCCCCCGATTGCCTGCGAGCTTCTCCTCCTGTCTGTATGGTAATTTCTGTACAGCGCGACAGAGAGTCGAGTGGTTATGACGCAATCGTTAGCCTATTTTTACTAAAACTGTTTCTACGGGGCCATAATGTAACATAGAAGGTAATGGAGCCCTTTATACATTGTCGTGTTTCTTTAGAAATAAATAATGGACAAATGGAGTCTTTAAACGCCTCAGATGTAAAGTTATTCGCTGTCAAAGTGACGCCAAAATGAATGGGAGTCAATGGAAATGCTAACGCAAGTGAAGTTCTGCTACAACATGGCGGCACCCGGCCGGCTTCAACTTCCGGTCGATGGATTACCCCCTTGATTTTGCCTCATTTAGTATTCCGTTTCTCTCGGTAATGCGTCACAACACTGGAGAAAAGTCGTTTGCAACTTCCGGTTCACGGGGACTTTAAAGGGATAGTTCACCCAAAAAAGAAAATTTGCTGTTACACCCTCAGGTCAAATTGTTTTCTTCTTCAGTAGAACAGTAAAGAAGTTTTTAGCTGAAACCGTGGTCCTTGGTGATTCGTATAATGCAAGTCAACGGCTACCGTCACTTTAAGAGTCAAAAAAAGAACGCGCTCTGTTCGCTGAGGCTGTGGATTACAGGTAATAATGTTGTAAATAATGTTCAGTTTCTTGCACTCGTATGTCGTACGATCGTACGCTTCATATGACCTCAATATATCGTCAGGAGTCATGGGTATTCATTTTGTTTAGCTAAAAATATTCTTTACTGTTCTACTGAATAAAATTGACAACTACTGTACATCTTGGATGGCCTGAGGGTGGGTCAATTAAAAGCATATTTTTAATTTTGAGTCAACTATTAAAACTTTGTTTGCTTAACAACATTATACAGCAGAGTCTCCAAATATGAAATGAAATAACAAAAAACAACAAAAACATCCAAGTTTTGGTGAAAATGCAGACCGGGGGAAGCAAATCTGGGCGACACAACCCCTCCCGTCATTTCAGCTCCAATGACGGCATCAAAACAATAAAAGCATGGCGAAGCGACTCTCCACGGCTCTGCTTTCCTCGGCGAAAAAGTTAAGAAACTCGACGCTATAAGCCCTCAGTACCGAAAAAAAAACTTTTACGGCTCGGAACTGTTTTTTTTTAAATCCAAGATGTAAAGTCCGAAAGACATTATTTACATCTAACCATGTTAGATTCAAGTTTTAATGAGAGTCATCTGCACTCTTGCCGTTTTGTGGATTTCTATGTGGAAATGCAGATTTGTAAATTGAAAGTGTCGTGTGTTAAAGTAGAAATGTCTTTATTGGTTAGGTGTTGGAGAAGCCTGCTTTCAGATCAGTGTGGGACTATAAATCACTGCGTTTTCCTCTGTGATGTATAGAGGACAGTATAATTGCTCTCTTTACTGAGTAGACTGCAGAAAGCTAAACCTAGCGGCTAGAAGAAATGGATGCCACCACTTTGATGAATAGGTGTCTTCACATTGTTCCTCCACAACGGATGTGCCCCCCCGCCGAAACATAAATCACCATATACATACATTGTATCTTATGGTTTTTTTGTGTAATTATTTCACTGGTTTGTAATGTCTCCCTGAGGTTCAAGATATGACTTGTATTTCCCTTTCATGAATATACATGGCTCTGCTGGATGATTTGCAATGCATGCCAAATGGGACGGGGGTGACTGCTTTCGGCAATGCAAGTCAAATTTGAATGAGTTCGGGCCTAGCTTGAATCCCGCCTGTAGAAACTGTTGTTTTTCAATATTTCCTCAGGAGTTTACCAGTGTTTCAGTGCATTAGCTCTCATTATATTTCAGGTACGGCAGTTCCTGTGCGGCTGCTTATTCTGCTGAAATGTGTTTTTTTTACTGTGGTAAATATATGGGATGTTGGTTGGAGATCTTTTATTAACATACTACACCGAAATTTATCTCACTTGCCTGTATTGCAATTCTTCATTGCAGAATTTCGCTGGTAGTGTGTAGATATCCAATGGAATGACACAAAAAGGAATAGAAAGTAAATTCATCAATCACGCAATGAGGATTTATTAGTCCAACATAATTATATATTTACTTTGGTCTAATTGTGTCTTTTTTTTTTTTATCCCCTCAAATGATTAGACATGTTTGTCTAAACCGAGTTAAAACAGTGCAAGTAATTAACAGCCATCAAAACCGATTATATTTTTGTCATACAGCAGAGCTAGATGTTCACACAAAAGTCTTCACATAACTATAAAATAAATACATGAAAATGTAGAAAATTACAGCATGCTGGAAGTGTTCTTCCATAGTCATTCATAATGTTAATTTGTTAAATGTAGTGAAATATAATGAAATTACAATTTAGATCTGTTAGTTTTGATATCAGAAATTTCACGTTTTGCACTTTTGAAGAGTGCATGCAATTGATAGTAAGAAGCACCAAAATGGAGACATTTTTATTGGCATATGATATATCATGAATTATATTTGCAATATACAGAAGCCCATTTCACCACATAAGGGAATTATATGTTTTGGTAAATCATAATTATGACATACTAGTTGAAATGATGACATACTAAATCGAAATTGTGACAAAAAAGCCATAGGACATTAAACAGTCGAAATAAAAAGTAGACATAATTTCAACTTTTTAGCTCATAATTTAGATTTTTAATCTCATAATCATCATTTAATGTCATAATTATGAATTGGTATGTCAATTTTGACTTATCTTATTATGCATTCTGAAATTATCTCATAATTTCAGCATTCTATCATTATGGCATAAAAACTAAGTCAAAATTATGTCTTAGTATGTCACTTATTTAAGTCATAATTTCAACTTTTCATCTCATAATTGTGATTTATGTCATAATTGTGTCTTTTTATATCACAATTATGATTTACTAAAGCATGATTTATTTTCTTATGTGGAATTGGGCATTATCGCAATAGACTTGTAATTCACAAATTATTGATAAAACCGCTTTAGATATACTTTTTATATATCTTTGTTTTATACTGTAAAAATAAAACAAAGTAAATAAAACAAAGAATATTGGAGTACACTTTACAAGAAATTTTCACATTTAAAGCAGCACTCAGTAAGAATTCCGTTTTTGTCAAACAGCGCCCCCTAGAGTTGCTGTGGAGCACTTGTACTGTCGTGAATAGCACTCACGCAGAGATGGCTCGCACTCACGGCCGGATCCCCTCCCCCTGTACACCGGTACCTGTTCAGTAGGATGGACGCTGTAACGAGTGGAAATAAGGTATGGCCCCTTTAAGAGCTGCGCGCGCCCAACACCACATGTATACGGCGCCGGGTTATTTCTGTTTGATGCTCATTTTATCAGATCTGTTTTTTGCCGTAAAGCAATTCGTTACCTCGCGAGACCTGATATCACACGATACTTCCTAACACTGAGGCCGGCGGCTCGCCGGCCCAAAGTTGCAAGGGTGGTTTTGCGGCTCACAGGCACCAGGGGGGTGCGAGACGACCACCATTCAACACGAAATCAGTAATATAAACATTACAATGACTCCAAAGCTGTTCGGTTAAGGTAAAAAAGTTACTTAGTTCACCTTTAACTCAATTTAAAAAATCCTAAACAATTCTGGAATAAAATTAAAAACATTATTAATACATCAAATAAACATTTAGTTAATCAAATTAGAGTTGATAATAATACTATACTTCATGACTCTTTATCTATTGCCCAAGAGTTCAACCAGCATTTTTCCTCAGTTTGGTCTACTTTAACATCTGCCTCTTATTTGAATACTGATAATTCTAATGTGGCTACATTATGTAATAGTTCATTTTCATTTGGGAGGATTGCTCCAATTGATGTTCAGAGTGCAATCGATGAATTAAAAGTGACTAGTGGTGAAGGATTAGATGGAATTGAAAATAGGTATCTTAAACTAACTTCACATATTATTATGTATCCACTAGCTGA